ATAAACAAAAGCAACATTTCAATTTCCCCAGTTCGTATAAAAACTTTGCACGCCATGAACTGAGCATGAGTCTCTAGTAAATGAACAGAACATATATCCCTAGACCAAAGCAACCAAATCCGCTACTGAAAGCCATAGCTTTAACTCTTAACCAATTCTGATAACCCAAAGAAGAGCAAACCCTACTCCCATGATCTCCGCTAATCTTGGGTTCTAATAAACAAAACAAATTAGGCTTATATAATCTCCTATATTCCTTGAAGGCCCTACGAAAATTAAGGGAAGCATCCCCTTGACAATTCCAAGAAAGAATAATCATTAAAACAAAAAAAAGAAAAGGGAAGAGATAAAAAAATCTACCAAAACCCAAAATCTAGAAAACAAAGATGAAAACAGGATCTATAAGGTAAGGAAAGATCAACACTCCGCTTAAGAGTCTGGAAAGACCTCTAACATACAATCATCAAACTCCTCAAGAGAATGATTATTACCCAAGGGAACTGAGCTAGGAACAACCTCCTCCATCTCTCTTTCCTTCTCTCTCCAAATATTTCTATTCCTATTACTCCTGACAGTAGAAACTCTATCATGAGCATTATTCTTCTTACCACGTTTGACCAGCATCCAATCACCATAATCCTCCACTACGGCTGGATTAATGGGCCGATTCTCTAGTAAAGAGTTAACTCGTCCAAACTCCTGAGTAGGTTGAGATTCAGCTTGCGCCTCATCAGTATTATCCTTATCACCTTGCTCTTTATAAGGACATGCATCAGAAGCATGTCCATTTCTCCCATGGGAAAAATAAACAAGATGCAGTCCCTCATATTCAATTCGATGAATTCGTCAGTGCAGGCAAAATTTTGAGACCAAAGGCTTAGTCAACTCCACTTCCACACATATTCGTGCATACCTACCCCTACTAACAAGACTAGTATTAGTATCCACACGAATGGATTCTCCAATCTTAGCACTAAATCGTATAAGAAAAGTAATATCATAATATTCAATTGGGAGACAAGGAAACCTCACCCAAACCATGAGCTTTTCCAACACTTCAATGAAAGGGTCAAAACATGCATGCCATCTTCGAACTGAAAGATAATTCCCAGCAACCGTCCAAGGACCCTCTAGTAATGCATGATCAAAATCATCGGCACTATTGAATTTAACCAGATAAAAACCATTCTCCAAAGCAATGACCTCAATAAGAGACAATGGTTTCCATAGTTCTTTTATCCTCCTTGTCAAATAATTAAACCCTGTTGACTTCCCTAATAACTTGACGATCAAGGAAAATTGCTAGGGCCGCCTTAAGCGTCTTTTTTCATCCTTGGATAACTTGATGGTGGGGCACACCACATCCTCTTCTTCCTCGCAATCTTCCAAATCAGATTCAATAAGTTCATCAGGATCGGGCTCCTCATACATGTCTCCATTTGCTATTTTATTCAAAAGAGTATCTTTAAAAGAGATACCTTGGACCATATGGCCTTGACCAGTGTCATGCTCTCCCACTGTAACATCATGCACGTTAGAATCTTCGTCTTGGCGTAGCTTTCTCGTGCTTGGTTTAAGCTAGTCACTCTCCTCCTTATAGAGAATAGGGTTAGGCGCCATCATTCCTTAGGAGGATATATTCTTTTTATTAGTAGATGTAGTATTATCCCACAAGATCTTTTTTTGTATAAAGTATAGGAATGAATTTATATATTTGGTCATTCTTTGATGATTAGAACTTTTGACAACCTGTTTTGATCAAATTTATGAAAATAGCACCACATATTTCCTTCAAATCAATTTCAGGATCTAACATTGGGTGGAATATATAATTTTGTTTTCAGATTTTATTTTTTGTATGGGACATTTTGGAAGAGATATTTTCAAATATATTTATATTGATTATACATAGCAATTTCAATGCACATAGTTTTTTTTTTTAAAAATGTAATTCATTAATAATAATCTTAAGAATTACAAATAATCATATAGATCAGAAATAAAACTTTACTATTTGTAGCTAATAAAGTTCGCTAATCTTTTAATGAAATAAAGGAATTTATACCATTTTGAATAATGAAACCAAAACTAAAAAGTATAATATTAGATCATTCTGCTTGGAGTTAATCTTGAAAAAAGATATAAATCTTCATAGCCATAACTAGTCCGTTAATTGATTTGGACATCAAAATAATAACTCCTCTAGATTTTCTATAACTGGATTGCTTTTCCAATAATTTATAATATATGACGAATACAGATGAGTTTCCGCCGCTATGAATCAATAGCATCAATGGAGGAACAGACCGTACTACTAAGCTTCATCCATCGAAGATCCACGTCTGCAACCAAATAAAATTAAATATCATATTTTTATTTAATAATAAACCATCACAAAGAAGGAACAAAAATACTTCAAATATAGAGACAACCAACAATAATAAAATAAAAAAAGACAGATTTGTTATAAGAAAAACGGATCTAATTTTATTAAAGCAAAAGAAGATTAAAAGCAAAACAAGGTGAAGCGAAAGGGATAGTAAAACGCAGTAGACAGCAGCAGCACATAAACAGTCCCCACTGTTAGAGTATGATTTAACTTCACTGAAGCTCTAACCATAATTAAAAACTCATCGTTTCACCAAAAACAGCCCCCAACACATAAACACTCACATAAACAGTAACACACCACATCGTGAAGTGGCCATAATGTAATCTAAGTAAACATCTTCTCTCCTTCATCGTCTGTAGATCATGATCTCTCCCTTTGAAGGTAGACTTTTCTGCTTCAGCTTCTGTGTCGTCATCTGCACATGCACCTGCACTACCACGATCATCTTCATCAGACAATAGCGATACAAGCCAACAAGTCCCATACAAGTGACTCAAAGTTTAAAGGTCACTTTATTCTCTAACAAATCCTCAGCTTGAATCCTCGAAATATCTCTTCTGAAATCCCCAAATCATTCTCACAATCCCTATAAATGCAAGTTCTCATAATGTGTTGGTCTTGACTCAACTTGTTACTGAACATGTCATGTACAAGTTAAATGGTGAGATTTAATAGGTTGTAATTACTGAATCGGCTGCTGAGATTCTTACAAAAACATCCTCAAAAATTATAAAATTTAATTAAATTTATATCTGGTGACCAGATTAACAGTTTTTTGGTTTAATTTAATTTTTCTCATTATGAAAATATGATATGTTTAATTGTGGTTAAATTTCCAGTTAGTGAAAGGAGTAGAACATGAGGTTGACAAAATTGGGAGAGACGATTACTGTTCTGCAGTATGAAATGAAACAGTCCGTGTGAGTGTTTTTTGGGTTTTTTTGTTCCTGTTTTTCTTTTCTTTTTTTTTTTTTTTTTTTTTTTTTTTTTTTTTTTTTTTAATGAAACAGTCCCGCTGTGAGTGTTTTTGGGTTTTTTTGTTCTGTTTTTCTTTTCTTTTTTTTTTTTTTTTTTTTTTTTTTTTTTTTTTTTTTTTTTTTTTTTTTTTTTTTGTGAAACAATGCATTTGTATTATGGTTGGAGTTTAACGCAAGCCATGATGGTGGGACCCATAATATATTATAATATTAAACAATTTTGACTGATTTGAATTTTGGGGTGAGATTGATATGAAAGGTTATAACTAGAGTGAAATTATCATGAAAGCATAATAGAGTGAAATTGCACCAATGTGCAAATGTCGGGATGAAACAATACATTAGGCTATTCATATTTTGCTCCATCCCGCCCATTAAAAAAATAAAATCCCCGATCCCACCTTGCCCCCCATTTATAATATATATATTATGCGAGGTAGAGCATTTAAATACGGATCCCGCACCATTTGCGTTTTATAATATTCAAGGCTGATCGATTTTCAGGATAGGACATTCAATTGTTAACAAAAAAAATTTCCCATTCGGGGTGGGTTCTTGCAGAGGCGAGACGTTTTTCCATCCTTGCATAGATAATAGAAACTCTAATTTTTTGACTCTTAAATAATAGAAACTCTAATTCCAATAAAAGAAAAAATATTAAAGATAAAACTCCATTTTTTTTCAATCCTCCATTCTATATTAATTGTCCATTTACAGAATTTCACTAGGATTAACAGAATCATGTGAAATTATTAATGTTTATTATTTATAAACATCGACCCTCAGTTCATATTGCAGCCTACATGAAGTCGAAATCGCTAGCAATCGTCGGTCAGCCATATGGCAGTGAATTCGTTCCTGGGCCTTATACACGCCGCCCGTCACACCATGTATACTAACAGATTTTCTTGTTTAGGGCTTGATTTAGTATTTGTTTTCTTATTTTAAATGAATTTATATTATACCTTATTGATTTAGTATTTGTTTTCTTATTTTAAATGAATTTATATTATACCTTATTGATTTAGTATTTGTTTTCTTATTTTAAATGAATTTATATTATACCTTATTGATTTAGTATTTGTTTTCTTATTTTAAATGAATTTATATTATACCTTATTTAAAGTTTACCGATCCTTTTCGTTGAAATCTTAAAAAATCTTGACACCCAGGGTATAAGGGACATGATAACTTGACGTCATCCTCACCTTCCTCCGACTTATCACCAGTAGTTTGCTCAGGGCTCCAAACTCAACATTGGAAACTACTTCCACAAAGATTGGGCTTGTTACGGGACTTAACCCAACACATTACAACACAAGCTAATGACAGCCATGCACCACCTGTGTCAGCATTACCGAAGGCACTCTTCTCTTCTAAGAGGATTCACGGCATATCTAAGGTTCTTCGCTTTACATCGATTAAACCACATGCTCCACCACTTGTGTGAGCCCACATCTATTCCTCTGAGTTTCATCCTTGGGAACATACTTCCTAAAGGAGATACTTAATGTGTTAGCTACAACACTGCAGTGCACGGGTCGACACGTACAATGCTTGGTATCCATCATTTATGGCTAGGACTATTTAGTGGTATTTAATATTCATGAATTAAATTATGAATTAATTGATAAGTTTAAGCTGAATATAAAAGTCATTATTAAAAAAATCCCCTCATCGGAAGAAGCCATTTGTCTACTTAAGAAGCAAATTTTTGGCTACTTACCAAAAAAAAAAAAAAAAAAAAAAACTTTCACCAAAAAAAAAAAAAAAAGTAATAATACTTATTGAAAAAAAAAAAAAAAAAAAAAAAACAGTAAGTTTAATACTTATTGGAATAAACTTATCTACTGAAGTCCTCAGCTTAGATATATTTATATATAGTTTGTCAAAGGCAAAGGTTTATCTCCTTGGCCGTGTCCGCTTGCTGTTTATATAACCAGTCGTAATTCTCCAGTAAGCAATGCAAACTTTCGGTGCTGAGATAAGATTGAAGGAACTCTGACCATTTGAATTCTTGCTTCTAGGTCACCGGAGCTGGATTCTTTGTTTTCTTTAGCTGCATTTAATATTGTTTGCAAGATTTGCAACGGATCACCATGGCTGACGATTAGCACAGCACATCTGCAAAGCAATCCATATATTAAAATAAAGCATTTGTGACCAAAAAACAAATTTATTCAATGGATACTTTAAGAGTTTGTTCCATATAGACTAAATTCTACCAAAATTGGTAGAATTTATAAATAACCTCTTAAAAGGAATGCAAACTACTAAAAACTAATGAATTTTAAGTACAAACTAATAAAACTAAATACGAATTTTGTGGATGATTCAAATATGGAAAATCATTTGCAAATGAAATGAATTACACAAATTTATTCCAAATACTATGTAAAAAATCTAAATTTATCTCCAGAAAAGTGTCCTATTAAGTGATTGTTTGGTATTGCATTTTAGGCATGTTTATTTAATAATTAGCACAATATGGTTTAAATTTTTCCCAAACCATAGTTTTTCTTAAAGCAGTATTAACAAATATATAAAATAAAAGGTTAAATATGCAGATAAACAGCTTTGAAAAAAAGGCTCCAAACTCAATTCCAAACGTAACTCTAAGATAGAATTTGAAAATTTTTCACAAACTTAACAGACAAACTGAATCTTGGATCATGTCTTCAATAATGCTAAAATAAAGAGGAATATTATTACCCTTGAAATTCTGACTCTATAAGTGAGATGGCAGTCACAAGTCTAGCAGCAACATCATTAGCACTTTCTCCCCCTTCAGGTTGCATGAATGGATCTTTCTCATCAAGTGCCCAAATCTCTGGATACTGTTGATGAAGGTTAGAGAAAAAGTAAGACTCGTGCTTTCAAATGCTATAAGCATCCCACTAAGTTAATGACTGGGGTCATCATGCAGAAGCATTTCTCATATAATCATCTTTCAGCAGCAGACTGGGTTGACAAACTTTATATATGTAGCTAGACCTCATTTACGGTATTGCTCCCATCAAATTCTTAACAAGTACTGCATAGTACATACCTTATCATGTGACATAAGTTCAAATGAAGGACCAAAGTAACGTTCTCGAAGACCTTTCACCACCTGTCCAGCAACATTTACTTTATGATCAAGACAAACAGAGGCACAAGTTATACAAAAAGGAAAAAGTTACAAACACACAAACAGAACTCCCTCGAACTTGAAAAGCTTTAGAAGTTAGCAAAATTATGTGTAGTACTTCATTTTAATTAATGGAGTTCTTTTCTTCTTGTTAGACAAAAAAGATCAGACATTTAGAAGAGTGAATTAGTCAATCTTATCGATGCAAAAGCAGAACATCAGATGCACAGTAAGTGGAGAGTCCACAATCTTCAAAAGATCAATAATGCAGAACATAACTCTGAACACTGACATAAAAAAGAAGAGCAAAGCATCTGCTGGGTTTGAGCTGGTTTTGCAAAATAAAAGCTTAAGCTAAACCAAATGAAGTTAATCAGAAATAAGTAGGAGTTTCAGTTTCAGTTGTCATACTTCTGTAAGGATCATTACCTCGGTCAAATAATATATAACTGCATTCATGAACAATCAGTCCTATGATGGTTTCTTTTCTAGCACATAAAGTACAGCATTTACAAACTTTGACTTAATTAAAGGAAATGCTGGAGAGGTAAAATCAAATTATCTCACCTTACATTGAGGACCTTCAAATGGAAGATTCAAAACAGATGCTACAACTTTGGCAGTGTGACTTGTTCTTGCAAATGGAGAGTAGCAGATGCGAACATTTTCAAGCAGTATGTTTTTTTCCTTCAGTTCCTGAACAGATACGGATAGTGCAGATATGGAGCACATCATAACTAATAGTGATACGTATTCTATCTTGCTACTTGAGCATGAAGAATACAATTAATGTGAGATGATAAAATACATTTACTACAACATTGGCAATGAATATAGTCAAAAGCCATTCCAAAAAGGGGGGAAAAAAATTCAATGCAGACAGACATTACTTTATGTAGCTTCAGTATTCAGATAAGCAATGTCCAGTTTTTGTCTTACTTCAGCTATAGAAGAAACCTGCTACTTACAGTAGCCCAACACTTCCAGCATATACCCAGTGCATTAATCAGCCATGTAAACTTTCATGGATTCATCAAATTAATTAGTAAGTAACGAAAAAAAAAAAAAGTCTCTCTGGAGATTTATTCAAAGTATTTACTTCAAATTTTCTCATTTTCTACTTATATTAAATAGCCTCAGAAATTTAAAACGGTTTACAGATTTTTATCCTTAATTAACAAATTCCATTATTATAATTACTAAATACTATCAATTTCAATCATTATGCTTTTTAAATCAAACAAATACTTGGATTCCTAATGTTTAATCACTGTTCTTCGCTAGTAATACACAATTATCAAAGTATTTTGCTTCAAAGTGAAATTGAACAAAGAAATTGTAGTTAAATTCAGACCAAATGAGAAAAATCAATCTTGAAAAATGAATGTATGAAATTATACCATTTGAAATAATTCTCCAGCCAACTGTGCCTGGGTCACACCTTCAGAAGCTAATTGGTATTCTGCAGAGACGCCATTTTCCTGTTGGATAGTTTATGAGAAAACTCCAAAAACCCATAGCGATAAAATAATAACAATGAATTGGAGAAGGCGAACCAGAGAGGAGACAATGAGGCCTCTCTCGTTTGGAATGCTTTTGCCGTGCCTCAATATCCAGTATCTATTTTTCAAAAACGACGTCGCTTCCATTTCTAATGGTCTTCTTCTTCCCCTCCTCTGCGTCTCCTGCTGATGGCTGCTGCTGCTGTTTTCGTTCCGAAAATTAGGATTACAGTTGCTTTATATGTTATTGAAGTGAGATGTGGCAGTACCCAAATGGTCAAGCCAATTAATTCTTAGGCTCTTCTGTAATCTTGTAACGTGGAAAGATATTAATGGTCAAGAGCCAATTAATTTTTAAAATCTCCTTACTCATTAGTTTTTTTTTTTTTTTTTCTTTTAATCCACAATTCAACATACAACCAAAACCATAAATCTCCATATTATCTACGAGAACTTCTAGAAATATAAAATAAGGCAAATAATATCAATATATTTTTTTGACATCTAAGCTCGATATATCAAATAAATATTAATATTGAAAGATATTTTTATAAAGAATAAATATTAATATTGAAAGATATTTTTATAAAATCTTTTCATTGTTATGATATATCAATTAAATCAGAATAATTTACATTAGGATTAGAGATGCTCTAAAAACACCTTATTGTTGTTCCATCCAAATGAGTCAAACTAGGGGTGAGTACTTTGCCCGACACGAGTCATGAAAATCAATTTTTTAAATAAGAAATTTTGAGTTTAAAGTTTAACGAAGCCAATCTGCTAGCGGGAGCTTGATTAAAAAAATAATAAGTTAATATTGATGAATCTTAGTGAGAAGATTTGTTTGAGATGTTTGCTTTTGATTTCAGTTGTTATTTTTTGGTGATATTGATAATTATGTGGCTTTTTTGGATGGGCAGTGATAGGTGGAACGATTCATTCCACATCACGATAGTTTTATATTGCTTAAAAGTACAAAAGCGGACCAGGTATAATAAAACATGGCATGACACGCTAGTTGTATACGGTTGACTGGAATTAAACGTTAGAGAGGACAATAATGTAATTGCCACAATCCCTTTTACAAAGGAATATTGGCTTGCGTCAATGAAAGGGGAATTTGGTTGAAAGGTTAGGTGCGACGAAGTAGGAGCAAACCCTAGTAACTCAGCAGTAGAAGTAACCAATTTGGATAAGCAATGTCATCATTTAGCAATCGGTAAAGTGTGAAGGCGGAATGGCGTATCCGGAGAACTCCTTGAATAGGTATGATTCATCGATTCTTCAAATGACAATTCGCGATTGAATTGGGTGATCTCAAATTGTTTTTGTTTGTAGATTAATGATGCATCAATTGGTGTTATGCTAATTATTATTAACCTGTGCATTAATTGGTGGCAGTAATCAAACTTATTTTGTTTTTGATTGAGAGTTGGTGCCTATGAGGGAAGCAATGAAAAAGGTCAATCTGTATTGTTAAGGTGCATGTTAACTAATGTTGAAAGTAGCAACTGATACACGTGCGTGCTGTTTTAGTTGAAAATAAAAAAAAAAAAAAATGCAAAGATCAACCTACGGAAAATATGGTGTTAGGAGAAAAAAAAGCTTATAAAATTGCAAAACCCATTTTAGGGTGAATTTACAATCGTATTGATGTAATTGTAACTTGTGTGTAGGTAGTAATTAGCTCTTTCTAGAATTGGCTCCCAAAATGTATAATTTTATATGGTATAGTAGTTGAGTGTTCATACTATATGAAAGATCAGAAATCTACATTTTGATAAGGTTGCAGCACAGTACTTATTGGGGAACATAGTTTTCATATCGGCAGAGTTTGGAAAATAGTAACAGTTGTTGTCCTTGCTTTCTAGTTGGCAACAAATTGAATTGGACATTAAGTGATTAGAGAAGAAGATATGTGGAAATAATTTTGGCAAATTTTTCTGATTAATGTAAATTTTCTACTATGTACTCTAAACACGAAATAGTTGTTCTTTGCATCATTTCAATGTTGGTGTACATAAAGTTACAGATTCCTATCATTAGATGTTTGAAAATTGTAATTGTTTGGTCTTGGATGGTGCTTGAATTGTCTTGCATAGTATTGACACAAAGTTATGTTTTTTGAGAATCTAAAAGTAGTTAATAGTACCGGATGTTATGGCGCACAGGAAGGAAGCATTCAATGAAGATGGCAACAGGCACAATTTTTTATCCAATCTAACTGAAAATCTTGTAAAAACCAGTGAAGGTTTTGAAGCGAGCATCAGGAAAAGATCCACAGTGGTAACAGATTTGTAGTTTAGTCAATTTATAAACTTCTATATATGATTCATGCGTATAATTTGATTTGATACAGTGAACATATGGATGGCATGCAGATCCCTAATGTTCGTTGTAGGCCATTGGCTTTACGAGCATTAGTAAGGGAGTTTACCGGCATACAGAGGGAGTGGGTGGTGGAGCTAGGTTTCGGAGAGCTAATGAAATTGCTAGTAATGAAATAAAATTTATCACAATATTTTGTCACAATAAGAGAAGTTGCAAGATATATAGTGTCAAAATATTATGTTGTCATAATATTTGTCACAAAATCTTTGGCGCCATAAATTTGGCGCTAATAAATTAGATATCATGACAAAATATGTAGTCAAAATAAAAATTAGTCACTATATTTTATTGTATAAAATTTTGTCACAAATCATTTTATCACTATACATAATATTTATTACTATAAAATAATTGTTATCACAATAAATTAAGGTATAGTGTCAAAAGTATATTTTGTCACAAAATCTTTCGCGCCCAATAAATTAGATACCATCACAAACATATTTAGTCAAAAAAAATTTAGTCACTATATTTTATTATGCAGAAATTGATGACAAACTATTTTGTTATTATTATAATACCTATAAGCTATAAAATAATTTATCACAATAAATGACGTTGTTGAACTAATAGTGTCAAAAAAAAAAATATTTTATCAACAATATTTTGTAGTAAATTCTCTAGTGCCTAAAATTTGACGGCAATAAAATTATATATCGTGACAAACATATTTAGTCAAAATGAAAACTAGTCACTTTATTTTACTATACAAAATTTTGCTACAAATCATGTTTATCACATATATAATATTTATGATAATTAATTTTGCCATACATAATATTGTAACTAAATAATATCATTATTGTGACGAAATTAAAAAATGTCATATTAAGTGTGAGAAAAAGAAAATATAGTGACGAAACAATTTATTATCATAAAATTTTGTAACAATAAAGAAATTCAAAAAACATATTTTGACAAAAAATATCTTTATCATAATATTTGTCACAAAAAGTTCGCGCCAAATTTTTGACACCAAAATAAATTCATTATTGTAATCATTATTTGAGATATACAGATAATATATACAAATTATTTTATCACAAAAGAAATTATTGATCATAATAAAATATTTTTTAACATAATAATCAATAGTGGCTAAGTGGGCCCTTAAGCGATCCATTTCTTCATCAACAAAAAGTCAAATGTAAAAACAACAATTTCTTATATTTATTTTAGTTTGATATTTTAATTTAACTTTTTTTTTTATCGATTCCTTTCAAGTTATGCAGTTTAAATCAGATAGCAGCTTCACAAATAGATTCCACTAAATCTAAGTATTAGAATGCTGCCGAAACTGTGTATACAGAAACTGTGTATGCTGAGGTAGTATTCATTATTCAAGCTCCAGACAGCCAGTAAGAAATTTTAATCACAAATTATATTGCATATATTAAATCATTTCCTTCTATTTAATTAATAGATAAACTATAGTAAACATATTATAATATCCCTCTAATAATTCTAGAAAAAGTCTTTATAAAGAAATAAAAGAAAGATATTTTATATAAGTAAATAAAATAGTAATAAAAAATGAGCATAAACGTTATTTTACAATATAATATAAGATTGTTCAACATTTTATCATTGCCCAAATTAGTTTTAGTGCAGAAACTTAAATTCAAAAAGATCTCGGATTGTAAAATAATTTAAAGTGGTTAAGAAAGAAAGCAAGTAAGACAACCATTGCACCTGAGAGACTCAAATCTAAGAAACTGTAACTATTAGTATTTAATATATAATTATAATCTTCCTTCCTCATGTTCTACTTCTTGTTGCAAAAACTACTTTCAGTATACACAATGTTAACCTAAACAAAATATATATATTAGAAATGAAGAATTAAAATATTAATAAACATAAAGAATTTCTTAAAATAAAAATATATACCATTGAATTTTATTGAAATCGGATGAAGACAAAACACCGAATGTGGGAGCACCTAAAGTTCTTGCCCTTCGTGAAAAAATTGAAAAACCATTCTCTACATGAATTTGAGGCCCATCATAATTTCTTTTCAACTGGTTTTGTTCAGCTTCAACTCCGTTGAAATACATTAAACAAAAATGAATACATTCCTTAGTAATATATGCCTCGACAATAGAACCTTCTGGACGAGTTTTATTGCGCACCGAATCCTTTAGAGTAATTTGAGCATATATGATGGTAAAAAATTCGTAAAAAATGAAAATCTCATCCAATGGCCATAGTTTTTTGCGAGCGACCCTAGGATATCATTATGTAATTATTGGAGTGGTCGCCGGTTGAAGCTTTACGGGAAAGGGGCGGTAATTTGGACGAAAATGCCCCTAGCAAGTTAAAAAAAAAAATTTAAATTAATTAAAATATATATTAAATAGCAAGTTAAAAGGGATTGTGATTATATTAAAAATGAATTAAAATAGAAAAACATAATTTATATACAAGTTAGATATTATTGAAGTCATTTTCATTCCATCTATATCCATATTTACATGCCTAATTTTCTTTTATTTTTTTGGCAAGAACTTGCCTAATTTTCAGATTTATAATTAATGCTCATTAAACATACTTTAATAATTCAATGTGTTATTCATTTAAAAAAAATTCCATATTTTTTAATTAATTGGTATTTTGAATTCTATAGTATACAATTGAAATTTATTTTCAGTATATGCATCATAGGTTTCCACACCCTCTTCCCACAATTCTTTCAACTCTTTTATTAGTGGCTGCAAATACACATTAATATTATTACCAGGAGAATCTTTACCGGGGATAAGTACTGTCAAAATAAAAAAAGGATCCTTCATGCATTTCCAAGGTGGAAAATTATAAGGTAATAGAAAAGCTGGCCATTTACTGTA